TTTGCAACGATATAGGAGGAATTAACTGGGAATCATTCTAACAAATCTTTTAGGATACCACCCAATCATTCATTACATTTCTACTCTCCATCCGTCACTCTCCACTCTCTATTTTCCACTTTCGATTTAATGTCTTCCTACTGATACAAGCAATGTAATATACTATTATTTTAGTCAAGTTTTAAATTTGATTACGAAAAAGGTTACGAAAGAATGGAGGTGAAGGAATATGAATTACGAGTGGAATTAAAAATGCCAAATGGAATAGATAGTTCAAACTTGGATGCATGGATAGATTCATCGTTAATTTCTTTATAACTCTTGAAATCTGTTATGTCAAATGTTAATTAATGGTTAATTTACTCAATCTAATTTGCCTATTTTTATGCAAATGTAAAAGCAAAGCGGTAAATATAAATTGATACAAATGAAAATGGAAAAAAAGTGTAGTGAAGAAATGGAAGCAAAAGCGATAGGACGGATGGATGGATGGATATGTATGTGTGTGTTGTATAGATATCTGTGAACTATGAAAAGGTATGAAAGAGTTGAACTGTCAGAGAAATCGTAAAATTTGTGAAACAATGTGAAATTAATGGATAAATAAACTCAGAAACAATCCTTTCAATTTTTGCAAATTTAAAGAAGCATTGAGAAAAATGAAAAGTGAATGAAAAAAGGCGGAAAAGGAAGGAGAAAGACAAGAGAGTAAAAAGTGGAGCTAATAGATCGATGGATTAACAAAGATTTATAAATTATCGCTGTTAAAATTGTTATGATTTTCATTATCGTCGTGTAACATTTGGAGCTATGCTAAAAGAACAACTGGTCAAAACGTTGGGATTGAAAGAATGCAATTGTTGTCATGATAGATGACAAGAAGGGATCCAAGGAAGCTAATAATAAGTGTTCTTGAAAAATAGCTGGCTGACCAAAGAAAATGTTTATAATAATTGCATATATTTAAATAGGCGTAGTAGAAGCTAATAATGCAATTATTTTATAAAATCGACGACAATCATTTAAAACAGAATCATAAATACGTAAAAATTGGAGCAATGCAATAGCAAAAGTTATTACTGGTCAAAGCTTACCTTATTTTAATTAAATTCTAAAGAGCAAATTAAAGAACCTTATTTTAATTAAATTCTAAAGAGCAAATTAAAGAGCTGGTTGTTCGTTCAGGGAAAAATGGTCATTTTTATAATTGGTCAATTCAATTTTCTCATGTAAAAAAGGGAATTCTATAACGAATCAAAGAAATTAAATCAGTTATTTAGAAATTTTGCTGAAAACCTTTTGAATTTTAAGATTAATAACCTTTCTTAATTATATATAATTTTTATATTTGAAAAACTTTTTTGAAGAAAGATATTAAAAAGAATGGAAGAAAAAAGCTGTCAGTAACTTCCTTGTTTTCAATGTACTTCCAAAATCTGTTATTTTGCAGTATATCTAGCACTTTAAATGAGAATTCCGATAAAGAAAGATATATCAAAATTCAGCGACTAGAAAATTAAAAGTAAAAAGTTATTGACAGCGCCATAGTTTCAATGACTACTGAAATCTTAAGAAAAAATTAGTTTATTCTAAAATTAAATGGAATATTTTTAAATGAAAAAAAATAAAACACTCTTCCGCGATTTTAATAGGTCAATTCGATTTATTTAAAGCGAAAGATTCGTTCCTATTAGGCGGATGTAAGCTTTCTACGCATTTGACTTGAATGTTTTAGCATAAACGCCATTATACTTATTCTAGAGATGGCTTACAACATCCAGTAGAGAATACATACGAAACGATTGTACCTTGTAATCGTCCCGAATTATAAATTGATTAATTTGGAATGGTAAATTATGAATTGGTCAATTTGGTAAAAGATAAAACGTAGTAATAAATGTATGCTTCACTAGGTAAGATAAGTCATTGAGTTGAATTTACATCGAATTTCCATTTTATCTTCATTGTTGTAATATGTCGCAACAATCCTTCGTGGCAGCAAAATGCATTAATTCTCCTCTCCTCGGTGCAAATGCAATCATCCTTATCCATAATTGTATTTTTACTTGGTGATCCATTTGATCGTTTTAAGAGTTTTAGTATACATTATTATTGATGAACATGAAGGAATGCATATGTAAAGGTTAGTAATTAAAATCACATCATTTGCCCTTGGCTAGCACATTGATAATTAAGTTGTGGAATTTTAAATCAATTCGATTATAATAAGTTGAATCACATCTTCCTATTCATTCAAAAAATGACCTTCGAAAATGACTATAAGGTAATAAATTGAATAAGCAAATGTATTTACTTGATTTATATGCTTAAAAAACTTTAACATACTTTATTTTTAGGTCTCTTCTTTCACACATATCATAAAGATTATTCTAGATGATGATGATTCATACATTTTTTTTTGTGATCTTTCGTTTAAAGAAAATAACAAATAATTAACTGAATTAGAAAATCAAACAGTTAAGTTAAATGGGAAGATATCGATAAATATGTAAATAAGGCATAGCAATCGGAAGTCAAACGAAAACCTAATAGAAATAGCACCTTAGATTTTTAGTACCATAATGCAAATTAAAGCATTGCATATGAGGTGAACCGTTGTAAATGAAACATATACTGCTTTCATGGCTCCAATAATCACAACATAATTATTGCTTTCAAAATGTAAAATATACTTACCAATCCTTTAATCCATGCTCTCCCTTAAATTCTTCCCGATATCTCGAGATATAGGGAGAGAGGGGTCATTATTGGAGGTCAATTATTATTTAGATCGCAAAATTTCTAACAAAACATGACAAAATTGAGAAGAAAGTAGTATTAAAAAATTTATTGTAATCGGATTAAAAGAGATACAAAAAATTAAAATGGTGTGAAGTTTAAAAGTAGGTTGCTAACAAATTATCAAACTAGTGATCATTTCTAATTGAAATAATTTAATTAACTTCTATTGGAAATTTAAATTAATCATTCAAATATTGAAATTAACAATTTGCATAAATTAATAAGTTGTCATAATAAGCCTTACGATTACTTAAGTGAACGCTTAAATTGTTTAGTTGAATTACAATCAAATTCTGTAAAACTTTTACATATGTATGTTAATGATTAGTTTAGAAGCTAAAAATGAATATTATCAAATTTTAAATTATTTTAGATCTGTTATGGGTCAACCTAATTAGCGCAAGATCTTAAATTATCTACTGAAAGTGGCACAGATGCAGTTATTAGAAGAAAGAAAGGTTTGAATTGATACATTCTTTGTTCTCATTAGCTAAATCCAATAAATTATCGGCGATTCGGGAAATAAACACATAAAATAGGTCATTAGTAAAGCACGGTTATTGTCCAGCTTTAAGATCATTTGCATAGATGATTGGGTCATTGCACTTATAAATTCAATTAATTTCCATTCCACTTCATTTTCACGCAATTCTGAATGACTATAGAAGCCATAAATATACAATGAAAGTGATAGTATTTTAAAGAAAGTGATGACTTTCCTTTACTGATTCAACTTTGAACTGTTGCTTTACTCTATTTCTCAGCCAAATCAATTGCTTAATTATTTAATTGGAGTTGACATTTAGAACTTTAATCTTATCTTTAGCAAATATTGGCTAATATTTTGATGGATAATATTTTGAATATTTTGAAATGATACTGAATGATAACGTAATTTTAGTTGAAATTCATCGAATTTTGCTGTACTACAGCGACCAGTCAGATATTATAATAAAATTTACAATACTAAAAAACAAAGGGATCCGTATCACTAGGCTAGCTGAATTTTCAAACTCCATCTGTGTATCAAAAGATCGTCTACGAGTCTGATAAGGTTTAAAGATGGTGGCATTAATGTGAATTGATCATTTGGAAGCGAAAGGAGTAAACTGATGCATATAAGTAAATATAGTTAGTGGACAAATAAATAATGTAAGGAACATCAATGAAATATAGCAAGTTAATTTAAACAAATTATAATCGTTTCTAAACTTCAAAAAAGAACAAATATGATAGGATATTGAGGGATATAAGCGATTCCAAATTGTGTTATTCTCATTACCAAATGAAGTAAATAGTTGAGGTAAAGAATTGGTAAAACTGCAGCTACTTTTTAAAAAAAACATTAAATTACTGGAGAGAAATATAATGTGGCAGAATGTTACAAGAAGGTGACAAGTACGACAATATCATTCAGAGCTTTCTCGAAAGTTAGAATTTCTTTTAATGAAGAAATTTAATGAATGAGGAAAAGGATGAACAATAGTTTAGCTACTGCTTGATAGTTTCTTCTTGCAAATAATAACAATAATGAATGATTTTATCAATGAAAAGATTGAAATTAGTTAACAAAATTTTATATCATTCAAATGACCGTTTGTCATAGTAATATATTTTATGTTGTAGAAGAAATATATGTAATTTGATGATGAACTCATTTTTTCCTTATCTTTGATTGCTAGACCATCAAAATTACATCAAATTACAATCTTCAAACTAAGATTTAATTTAAATTCTTGGAACAATCATTTTGGGAGAGAACATTAACAGCCAGTAGAAATGAGGCAAAAGAAATATTTATTGGCCAAATCAATTGTAGGATTTTTTTAAAGTGATTTAATATCATTGTAGAAAAGAAAGAATCAAAAAACTTCAATGAGGAATTTTCGGAAGACTCGAAAAACCAAGCCACCGTAGAAATTGTTTGCATGAAAATATATTTTATACAAATGAAATATTCAGAAGACTCTTCAACTTAGAGTATAGTATATTCGAAGTATTTGCTAATGCAAAATGAGAAATAATATTAAAAATGCTAATGAATAAATTTTGTTAGGTCCCTTAATATTGAGGAAATTTGAAGTTCAAAAAATAGCGAATGGATTTATTTTTAGCTATTATTTGAAGAGGGAATCGGTTTGTTGTAATAAAAGAATTTACGCGTTCAAATCAGAATTCAAATGCGTCCCCCCGTCAAATTAGCGATCCCAGATGTGACAAAGCTCATTAGTGTTGGATTGGCTAACATAAAATCGAGCTAATAATGTAAATTCAGAATCCAGAAAATGTTGACCAACGTTGACCAATGATAGTTGATGAGTGTTAAATTCCCAGAACTCCTTTGCTTGAAATTCAGTAATGAATTTTATAATATAACTCTGCTCTTTAATTTCAAACATATCTTTTCCAACAATAGCAACTTTTATAAATACACCAATTGGTTCCAATTGTTGGAACAGACAACATATTGATAGAATTCTTCAAATGGAATGGGAAAAAAATTTTTTAACAAAGAAATCATTTGTTGTAAAATTGTTGAATAACTTTTCAGTTTAAAATCTAAATGAATAATTTGATGGATAAGGCGTTTTCTTAATGAAGTTTGGAACAATGAATAATTCTATTCAACAAATTTTTAAATTCAATGAATTCATATAATGAATTAATTCATTAAATCATCAATTCTTCGATGAAGAAAAATGAAAAAAACAAACCATTTATCGCCAGCTTCCAAATCTTCATCGCTATCACTTTCACTTTCATCCGCATTATCCGCACCATCATTCGTCTCATCGTTATAATTACCATCACAACTTGAATTCTTATGAATCGAATCTCGAAGTATCATTCTTTTTTTCTGCAGATGAAAAAAAATTGAATTTAGGAAGAAATTAAATTCAAGCATCTTATTCAACAAATTCACATTAACTTCGCACAAAATGAAATGAATGAAAGAAACCTAACGAATCTGAAAGTATTAAATGTGAAATAAAATATGCTTGTAAATGGTACACCTAAATTAAATAACTATTGCTTAAGAATGTAAGGTATGTTCTGAAAATCAATGAGTGCAATCAGTAAGAAAAAAAAGATCAACTAATAAGCAATAAATAGGAAATAATATAATCATTCCTAAATATGGTACTTATCCTCTAAGGAATATTTTAAAATGTTTCAATATCTGTGGTGAAATTGACTGGAGAAATCAAAGATAGAAAATTAAGTGATAAGTAAATGAATAAATTGTCAATTTGCAATAACTTCAATGATTAGCAATCACATGAGCCTTTGTAATTCTCTAAATTCGATTTTAATATTTTTATTTTCTCAAGAGATAAAAAAACATATCAGTAAAAATTATTTATTGATTTTTTGATCTCTCATTTACTTCTTCAAGATATCATCATAAAAAGTTAAACAATAGAAAATCATTTTCATTTTACTGCTGCTGACAGCGCTTCATAATAATTTAAAATTGTCTACGAATGCATAAAATTGCAAATTGCTCGAAAATATTCAACTCAATCTTTCAAATTTCAATTCAAATGTATTTTGCATTAATTATTCAATGAAATTTCTAGAAGATATTGGAATTTCGTTGAAAAAATTCCCATTATAGTAAATAAAAACAATTCGAAATATGCTATTTTTCTATGAAAGAATATTAGAGAAGATGGATGAATTGAGTTTTCCTTCTCAGATGGAATTCTATCCGTCCATTCTTATTATATATAAGCATATGTTTTATTGTGCAACTTGCAACAACAAGTACATCTAATTAATCATACTTCTCATATTTTAACTGCCATATTCTTTTTTTTAAACATATTACTAAAAAACTATAATAAAATTGAATCATGTGGATATTAATAAACAATAATGAATGTGGAAGTGTCCTAAATATTTCAACAAGACAGTACCATCACTGTTTGAAGATAATATTTGAATAGATTAAAGTTAGCTTCGTAAATCACTCTTTGATTATATTTGCGACTAGTAGTAGATTTTAATGCGATACTGAGAAGTTATACTTGAAAGATCAAACAATCTTCATCCATTGACTGATGATCAGTGAAGTAGTATTTTGTTTACCTTGTTTATTCTGTCATTAAATTTTTTCGCGAACTGTCACAGTGTTACGGTGATATAGAATAGCCAAATTAAATGCAGTAAGAATGAAAAAAAAATCAATATTGCTCTTTTGTTTATTTTTATGAAATATACCTTTCACTTCGGCATGTATACTAAATCTAAACTTAAAACTTTGAATATTAGGAAGTTGTTTGAATCGCTAAAAAATATGTCATCAAGTATTCAAGAGCCAATCTACTACATATGCATGTATATATGCATAAATCATTTCAGAAACTAAAAGGAAGCAAATGAACAACTGGAGAGTAGCGATGATATGACTAAAATATGAAGCTAAAATGAGAAACCTTTTTATTTCATTAGAATTATTCATTCAAAATCAAAAACAGTACAAAATACTAATGAACAATTTAATTAAAATAAAGCATAAACAAATAGAAATACATAAGCATATGTGAAAACACATTAAACGTAATAATACATCATTTTCAATATTTCGTCGCCTCGAAGATAATAAATGATATATCCTAATCCAACGATAATAGTGATATGTACTTAATCGATGATCATAGTGATATATCTTAATCAACGTTCTTGCAAATATGTGTTAAATTTGAAAATGATAAAATTCTGTAAGAGAAAATTTTACAACGTATCATAAAGCATTTAAGTTAAATAAACTAGAAAGAGAAAAGAAGATAAGAGTGAAGCAGGCAAGCAATAGAAAAGCAAATAATACAGTCTTCATTTTTTTTTTGAAGTTGAAAATACTGCATACGATAGCATGAGGAAGTGAACAAATATAATTCTCTCGATGAAAGATAAACAACAAACAAGTAAACAAGCCAGTAATTTACATAGCACTAAAATGTAACGCACCGCAAGCTTCTCTCAGAAAATGAAACAATCAAAAAAAAGGTAATGATCGAAATGATGGAACCGGCTATCGGAATTAGGTGACAGGAAGCATCCAAGAGCGAGATGAGAATCCAGAAAGACCTTTTTATCCAATGGTAATAACAGATGGTGTGCGCTGTCATATCATGGTGATGTAATAGAGAATGTCCATTTATTTATCTGGCTTTTTCTGTCATCCTTTAACGAACCGATAGCTCAAATAATGAGCAAAGATCACCAAAGTTCATGGAATTCAAATACTTCATCAAAATTTATCTCAGTGCTTTTTGAGATGTGATTAGTGTAGACTTCTGGAAATAAATTCTTCTTAGTAATAATATCAACCATGAGAGAGGTGCAATTTTTTAATGGATACACATAGAATGATAATTGCGACAAACACTGATCTTCTTCCACTTCTAATTCGTGAAATGTTGCAGTCTTAGATTTGAGTTATTAGCTAAGCCTCAAAGTTATTTCCTGAAAACCAAAGATTTGCAGAACATTTTCATCTTAATCATTAATTGCATACAAAAATGTTTTTATAATTGAACAGAGAGTACTGTGTTAACCCCACTTAGACTTATAGATGACATTTTCGTTCCTTCCACAGTTAATTTCTAATTGCTATCATATAAATAGACAAATTTGAAATCGCCATTAAATGTAATACGTACAGAATATGATATGAGTGAAATGAAGTAAATGTTCTGAAAATTCTATTCAGAAAAGAAAATTTTAAACCTTAATAAAAATTAAATTTTTAACATCATCTGTTTATTGTAATTTATCTTTCGAAAATAATATAACGTGAGAGAAATTATTTCTAAGTTTCCGTATGAGAATGTGATAATTCATCTTCCGGACAGCTTACTTATGATTTATTCTACGACATTTGTATTAAAACAAAATTTTTCATCTAACAGATTAATGATATATTACTCAAAAATCTATCACTGCTAATATTGTTACTATTACTAAACAAAATCTTCTGATAATTTGAAACCGGTTTTTTTTAATTAGTATGATTTACTTTTTTGATTTTGCCGATATTTCATACTAAATTAAACTTCTTATAAATCAGTCATAGTGATATAAACCAGTATGATACGGAACTTTTGCGTGCGATAGTAAGCACAAACTTTTTCACTACAGATATTTATTACTATTTCGATCCCGATAGGAATTCTTGCAAATTTTCAAATTTTTATATTCCAAAATATGCATAGATTTCACATGTTGCAAAGATATACGATTTTCAAAAATTTCTAATAATAATTTTAAAAAATGAAATAGAAAAATATAATGATGGAATTACCTCTTATTCAAATAGATTACAGTCTTCCTTATTAGAAATTTCTAATTGGTAAATAACTCGAACAATCATTTGTAAATACAATTCCCGATCAGTACTAATAAACAACAGTGACAATAATTAGAAGCAAACGGAATTATCAATTGAAATGAATGATTTAAATAAAAGTCAGATATGCGGTAAATCGGCAAACAAATGAATGAAAAACTCAGAAATGCTCCAAAGCTATATTTTAAAACTATATTTAAATTGTGCTATATGCAATTTCTTATTATTAGTTGGTGTTATTAGCTAAACAGCTTCGAAAATTATATTTATCATAGGTAGTTTAACTTATTACTGAACAGTTCTTCTGCAGACCTAAATTCTAGGCCGCATTTAAATGAACATTAGCAGGATGTATATGACAAGTCATCATCCATTCACTCCATATATTTTCAATGGAAAATTGAATTTTTTTAAAAATTAGAAGTTTGGAATATTTCAATCTCAAAAAATTAATAGAAAGGTTTTTTTGAGATTCAAATCAAACAGAATGTAACAAAATAGATTATAGCTTACCAATTTTTTTAACTTATAGTTAAAGTAGAAAAGATTTAAAAAATGATTTTAAATTTTATTTGAACATACAAAGATTTTCATCACATAAAGGTAATTATGCCTGTAGAGGGGAATGAGGCAGTCATGAGCAAAACGATGCAAAATACCTCTGTCACCAAATCGCTGTCAACAATTAATTGGAGGACATTTCATCCAAATATAAATAACGATTACAACAACTAAAAAGGGTTAGAAAACATTTTTGGATGATAAATACACAAAAAGGAAAACGATTGTAGTAGTGATGCGGAATGATGAGAAAGCCGTATATTTTGCAAATGAGAAAATATATTTCGTTTGTTACGTCTATCTGTTTTTATAGCCATCCGTTCGTTTTTTTTACACAAAATAGAAATACCGATTAGACGATTAGCTAATTTACATAATACATTCAAAAAGGAAAGCAAATTCTTTGGTTATGTAAATATAAGACAATCTTAGCGAATAGTCATATCGCTAAGAGCTTCGAAGTATTTATTGGCAGATAAATATTAGGATTTATTATTCCTTTGTAAAATATCATTTCTGTCAAAATTTCTTTACTAAAAATTTATCACTGACACTGACATATTTTTTGACTTATCACTAATTGCTATAATGAAATAATGAAAATATACGAAGGATCAAAGTGCTGATTGTTACAATTTTATTTGTTGGAATATTTCCTCCCTTGCTTGTCTGCTTATGTTTGCTGTTATATTTCTTAACTCCATTATCTCATTCTCTGACCTATTCGGTTCAGACTACGTCAAATACCACCCACTAAGTACAACATTACTATAAAAGTTTTATCACATTACTCGTCGGTTCTATTCCTGTCACTGTCATTTATTAAAATGAGTTTGAATGACACTGAAGTAGAAGCAATCATTTTGCATATAAATGGGGAATTCTGATGAATTAACCATCCTTCAAGTACGTAAATTTCATGAACGCCAGATGTTTACACTGTGTCATTGAAGGTCAATTGTCAATTAGGACAAAGTCAGTCCCGCCTCTTTCGCAACAAAAATATATTTCTGAGAGCCGTTTACTTCTAGTTTTTGTTTCATGAAAAATAATTGAAAGACCATTTATTCAATAACACGATCCTAATTAAGATGAAATTAGATGAAAATTAACTTTTGGAACAAACTCATGAATAATTTTACAAAGATATTAACTAAATAACTAACAGCGCACGAGAGTAACTCTCATTTTTATTGCATTTCATAAATTGCACTTCGAAGAACAACAAATATAGCAATCCCAAAGAATTGGATCAATACTAAAAAACACTCAAAAAGTGTATCATATTAAAGCAGAGAAATACATTAAAGTCAAGAATTTACTGACAAACTGCCTTGAACAATTTATATTCAGTGAAAACAATCCTACCTTATGTCTTTCTGCCTTAAACAAGGTTGACAAGAATACGAATTTTTTTGTCCTGCAATTCCAGTTCGAAACCTTCAAATTATCTGCAACACATGATTATAAGAATACAGGAAATAAAATTAAATGCCTGAGAAAGACTTTTACAAGAAAGAACGCAAATGAAATGCATTGATGTGGAATTAAAAACCAAACATAGTTGGAATGACAGCATTCAAATGAGCGAATTTACCGATAAATTGCCTAACAAAAACAAAGGCACCTTTCAAATCTTTCAGCACACTATAATAAATTACACATAAACACGCAAAGGCATGAAATAACCTAAATCACTTCATTCCGCTGAATCACTGATGTTTTATACTAGTATTTTTTACTAATAAGAACCAAACTAAATACAAAGTGAACAGCTACAAGCAGCATAGCAAAGAAATATTATCAGTAATTCAATCCCAATGAGATAAATTTGTGACTAAATAAGAGATCAAAAAATAAGATTCGTCGATATCATGTGCTTAAAAACCTGATATGTAGGACTGAACTACTCAGTAGCAAATGATATGGGGAGATCCAGCACTGCCTTCGAAAATGATTATTAAATTTCACAATGCCGATAAAAGTCAGTTAAATCTAGCTGCAGTGCGAGTTCAACATAATGTGATTTGCGCGGTGGCGTTGTTAAAATATTGAGTACATCCCGCATAAGAAGCTGAAAAGCGTAATAACTCCGATACTAAAATAAGCATCGCACTCGATAATTATTAACGAGAATTCCGTATTAAATTAAAGAACAAATAATATTACAGTTGATACAGTTATACAGTTTATTACGTATATTAGGAAACTCAGGAATTTTCAACTTTTAAGGAAAACCATCTCATTAAGTGGTTTAACTCAAAATTTCTAAATTTAAAACTGCTGTTTAAGGTAACCATGAAACTTCAATTATAATGTCAAGTAAACCAACCACAAATTTCGAATTTAGAGTTTTCACTTTTGGCCGATAATATTCTTCCAAATGTTGCTGCAATTCCTCCAAACGAATGCGTTCTTCTTCTTGCTCGAAAAATTTGGTATCATAAAAATCTTTCCCAGTTAACTTTTTTTGTTGCTCACTAAAACGTTTGCGGGCCTCAATTGTATCGACCATCTAAAATTAAATTAAAGCATTAAAGAATTGGAATTAAATTCAAATCGTTCAGCAATGTATGATATTGCTAAAGCCTTTGTTTTCATATCACACACATAGAAAACAAAAAAGTCAATGTTGAAGGGATATAAATATGACTTGCCTCTGATCGAAAATCGGAATAGTATCCGAGAAGATCTGTTATTAATGAAAAAATTACACAGAACAAGTTATGCAGCGCCTGAAAAACAATACTATTTTAGCCTACATCAATTAGTTAAGAAAACATACAACAAATGACAAGTAATATGAAATGGAAAAATAAACATGTTCGAAAGGTAAAAGCATTTTTACCATGCTTTCTTCATTCAAGAAAAGGCCTTTTTCAAGTTGACCAAGATATCGGTTATGTGCCTCTATGAGACCATCTAGATCACCAACATTGTCCATTTCCAGAAACAAGGTTGATCGAAGACGTAATACAGTCTACAAAATAACTAATAAAATAATATTCTTTTTTTCACACTGATATTGCTTTTAAAATAAAATAAAATGAGATGGTCATAGATATCTCGTAAGAACAAACTGTACTCTCTAGCTAAATACATGAGATAAAGATGATATAACAAGTAAATAATTGTTGCGTATAACATGGAAACTATCTATCGGATTTGCTCCGAGATATACGATTCTCGATTTAAGAAAAATTTACAACAAGTAAACACGTAAGACATAAAAAAGTTACATTACGTGAGACGTAGGACCGCACAGTGCTCAGAACTTGAGACATTCGAGCAAAAAACACTGTGAATATATTCACGATCAATGTCGCATCTGAAACAATTAACTGACTACAGTCATTTTTGAACAGTTATTTAAGAACGAATAAAACAATGGGTAAACAATAAGGCCAAGCATTAAAAGACAGACACCCAACGCATAATAAGATAACCAAAATAAGCTCTAAAAAAATTACCGCTACCTTACAAACTATAAATCTGAATTATAACATAATAAAAGTAAATAATGTTCCAGATCAACAAAAGTATTAAGTAAATAGTTTTAACATAGAAACTGAGAACCAATTATCGAAAAGCACACAATGGCTAAAACAAACCAGACAACGGTTCATTCTTCATAAAGCAGTGGTGATCTTGCAAAGTGGCAGTAAGTTGAAAATCAGTTGAAAGTAAAAGCCATATAAATTCAAAAGCTTTTTCATAACGTTCCATGGCACTAAAAAAGCTTCATTTGCATCAAGAAAAAAACTGAAAGCACTTGAAAACAAAGGACTACCATGTTATGGATCTGTATATATTTATAGAGCGAACTTCGTGTGAATTATAGAAAGCGGAAGTTCCTCAGATTTAAAGTATTCAAACCAAACATTTTCCTTACCACCAAGAACTGCTCCAAAAATAGTTTTTTGTGGCAAGTCAAACAAGGTTGCAAGCTGACTTAATCTCAATTTTCCTGCTTCAACCCTCGGGTTCGCGTAATTCACAAAATTCTCAGTTGCATTCCCCAACAAAATCACAAAAAAAGGACCATGCAGATTTTTTTGGTTACATTTGATTTCTATGATTTATATGAATATGACTGAGGATTTTATTACGAAACCTCTTTAGCACTCATGAAACATATTTATCCATGCTATTACAGATGCCAATTTGCAGAAACACAGAAATGGTACAAACAAATAATTAGAAATAAACAAACCTTTTATTCAGAACAATTGAAATGGGGATTTTGGATTCATAGTTCAAACGGATTGTTGCACAACCACTTTGATCTCGAGGACTTGCGACAAGATGAGAAGAACCTCCTGTTTCGTTAAATTCTTCCATCAAACCGCAAGTTGCGTCGATTGTTGCTTGTTTTAAAATCTCTTTTGGCCAACTATTGCACTGTTGAATAGCTGCACTGAACGCCTGAGAAACTTGCTGGGAATCCAATTTTAACATATCACTGTCATTACTTGCTTCTTTCCTGTAACTATCAGGTCGAAAGCTAGATTTTTTGAAGGATCTGCATTAATCCTTATCAAAAGTATTACACAACTAAATCCATTAGCACTAAAAGTGTGCAGTTGGAGCAATGGTGCGATATTAGTGACGAATGAAATGGTCATAAGGTTTCCATTGTTCATTCGAATTCAGTTGTTCAGTTGTTTCCATTTCATAATTTTTAAATGACAGCTCTGTTAAGTATTCAACTGCTTGTGTATTTAAGAAAATTTTTCCAATACAAAGGATGCAAAAAAAAAAATAATGCAATGCGCTATGAAGTACGGTTAACGCCTTTAGTTATATTAATCTACTAGATTCCATCGACTTTATTGAAGAGATGAGAAAATTTTACACTAACTTCAATTTTTCGTAAAAGGTTAATGCAAAACATTCATCGTTCAACAAATAATGTCGCTCAATAGCCAATATATGGGCATGAAAGTTATACTTTTGAACGATATTCTGCGAAACTTTGCCACTCATTCGATGAGATAATCTAAAATTTTAAAAGTCTAAACAAGAATTATTATAAAACAAATTGAAACACAGAGCTCGGATAAAGAACGATGTACAGTTCACGAATGTTCTAAATTGCTGTACAAAATGGTAATCAAAATAAATGCAAGCAAAATTCGTTGAGCATAAATGAAAATTCATGGGTAGTGTTTATTAAAAAAGAACAATGAATCATATCAGGCAGAGTTTCCGAAGGCTTCAAAAATTACGTGAAAATTTCCACAAACAAAAAATAATGATTGATACTACTAAAAAGCATACTTTTTAACAGCATACCAAAGTTGAAGACCGCTCGAGATACATAAATAGCATTTCAATGAATCAACTGATGAAAATATGCGCTGTCTTTCAGGCAAATCGTCGTCTTCCATGCCCATCAATTCCAGCAAAGCTACAGTTTTTCCAACAACGAAAATCTAAACGGATTTCAGATAAAAAATCAGAAAACCTAGATTGAAAACTAATAAATTCTATCAGGATGCGAAAATTTTTAAAATTAAAAAGATTCAAATGAAAAATTAGCATAGCAGAGATTCCTTCCAATCGATATCAAATATGTTCAAGCTTCATAATTCCAGCCACAAAAAGTTTAAGATTACAACAAAGGTTGCAAGGAACAGCTCTTCTTGACGTACCTTTTCTTTGAGTCCTTCGAAATGTTGGAAGATTATTGGTACTGCATTATCCACTATTTTATACTCATTTGACCAATTTTTTTCAACTGACCATTTGTTTTGTAATTCAATCATCCACTAGAAATGATTCTGCCAATTGAATGGGATTTCTGAGACGTAAAAACTACTGACTTAAAATTTTAATTAATTTTAGCCATTAGATGCATTGCTGCTATTTCATAAGTTCACTGTAACCTATGGAATATCGAATGAGACCAATCGTCTCGAACTGTATCACTTTAAATCAAACAAATGAAAATATAACTGATTAGTTAACGTAATGAACTCCAATTCAGTGAGATAGCTAAAAATAGTTAAAAATACAAGCCACACCGTAAAAAATTAAAATAAAATATACTTGGAAGCCAGGATCCATCAAACGCCCATAGACGAGCCAGCTATGAAGGCATTCATGAAAAATATACATCATAGGGCGCAGCAATACTTGCAAAAATTGTTGGATAAATTGATTAGCAGTGCCCCTGAAGCCATAAATTTTTAGATTATCATAAAAATATACTTAGTTATATTAAATCTTCCTCATCCTGCTTAATTTCCATAGTCTTACAGAAGGAACATGTTTCTTCATATTGAAAATTAATTTTCGAGTTACCAATAAAATGAGCAAAGCATGTTGAAAATATGCATCCCTTTGAGGCCTTCAAAAATAGAAACAAGTTTTGACAGAAGGGGCAATAAGATCTCCCAGCTGGACAACGCAATCGCAATATCCAAACAAGTAAACGATCCAGGGTTGGATATATACTGAAACAACTTCGCGAATTATAATATAGATAGAGAAAACTTTTCAATACCTGGAATGTTTTGAATTGCAATATAGTAAAAGGGAATTTGGCATTTTACTAATTAAGAAAACTGGCCCATTTTTTCTTAATTACATACCTTCGTATACAACATAGAAATGAGGCACATGTAACTGGATAATACTTCGGATAAACCTGTAGAGAAAGCCTGAAACAGTAAATACGATCTAATATAAATTTGCCTTCTTATTTACTACTCATTTTGTTTCAGTTCTGTGTATTCAATTTTCAATTTCAATTTATGATATGAAGAGTATTCGGAATTTCATACAGCGCCAAAATCCTCTGCAGAGACATGTGGAACAAACCCGGACAAGACGATCCGAGGATGGCTTTTGCGACTCACGTCGTAAATACAAATAGGCGTTTGCAATGGGTAATAATCGTAACAGCTGAAGGCGTAAAATGTCGTCGACTGCAAGCATGTCGCCTAATCGTAACTCAGCTTGTTTATCACCGCGACATATAATGTAAGTACCTTCGATACCTTGCAAAGCCATCAGTACATGTCTTGTCAATTCCTCTTCACATAAAACTGTAAATTTTTCTATTAAAATTTATTGTTTTATATTCATTTTCAAATACACGCTTAGATTTAAATTGAAATTGCATCTAAAATAAATTTGAAGAACAAGGCTTTGTTTTTACACTTGATTACTTGCAAAAAAACAGATCCAAAGAAGATTCAGCAAGAATAATGCAGAGGTCAAAAAAGCAGAGCAAAATAAAACTTTCAAAAAAATTCTGCTTCACAAAAATGTTTACCAGACCTATAAAAATTTCAATTTATTTACTTCTACAAAATTCATTATCCCTCATCAAAAACTAATCAACACTGAGAGTTGTACAATAAATTTCAAAACGATAATGAATGTAATCAAAACTACCTGTGAGATGCGCTGCTCGTCCAGTAAGTGAAGAAGTCTGTGGACTTAAAAGCCGTATATGTCTCGATCTGCAAAGATTTTTTAGACCAAGAAAACTAATTTTCAATGGCTTCAAGAGTTCAGTTTTTTCTATAACTAATTCTCTACAAGATGAACTAGAGATTATATTGAATTAATTTTGCTATGATTCGAGATAGAGAAAAACAATGCTTCGCTGAAAGTTATTATGAAAAAATCATAATTTAAAATTTAGAACTTCCATACTTCGGGCTGTTTAAAATTAAAAACGTACGAGAAAAGGCTTTGTCTGCTACTCCCGGAACTCGGTGTTGCCGAATGACTTAAAGTAAATCTGGTGGTACGCTGTCGGGATATCGGTGTTTCCAACGCACTATTAGAGTTCGAATTTGCCGCTACTAGCTTTGCATCTCGCTCAGCCTTCCTAGCATACTGGAAAAAAGATTGCATTAAGATAATAGTAGGAGGAAAATTACTCCTTGTCAATTTTCCTGCTTTTTTCAAGCTTTGAGATTTCCTTTTCCGAAAAATGCGCAAAATTAATCGATCAACAAAAAAAATTTAATTTTTACGCTATTGCAGTTTATATCACGGTTTCAACCCTTCATTCGTTTTTTCTTTTTTTAAAGCATGAAGCATACTATTGCTAATATCCTTAACTTTCTCACGCAACGAAAATATTTGTCCAGCAAAATGTGTAAAATTGCCCGAAGAAAACAAAACACCGATTAAAATTTTTGAAGTGAGGAAATGCTACAAAGAATTAAGCTAGGATATGCAAAGTGAACAAAATTTGTTCCATATATTAGCAACATCAATACTACATGCAACCATGCAGTCTTGTGATATCGATTTTCTAACCAAAACGAATCTTCTAATTAAAACTTTCTAACTCTTCTAACTAAACAGCATGGAGAAAAGAGATCGCCAAATAGAATGAATGGTAATCATATGCGCAAGTATCTCGCAGCAGATCGGAGACTTCTAAAGATTCAGAAAACTACGCAGCTTCGAAGTGGGGAATCCTTTCAGCTCTTTTAACAGTAAGAGTATTAGAAGATTACCAGTAGACTAGAAAAGATAATTATAAGAAAACTGCACATTTAAAAACTTTTTTGCTTTAAGGGTTTGGTCTTTCAATTGGTACTTTTATCATTTGAGAGATTCCGCTAATATTAAATGCATAATGCAACGTAAAAACAGAATACTTAAACATTGAAGATTTATACATACACTGAGCAAAAGATTTGACCAACAGATGTGTATATTCTGTAGCTAACATACCTGATGTTCCGAGGCATACGCTATGAGAAATAGAACCAGTTCGTCTGCATCTATCAAATCTGGTCGTTTTTGCAGTCGACGTACTATGTCCGCAAACTGGGCAGCTCTTTTTTCACTTCGTTTAACATCTATAAAATTGTGGCTAGTATAAAGATGATGCTGATTAAAAAAATTTGTAAATGTATACTCAATGATACTGCAAATAAATTACAACTAAAATTAAAGTGACCACTAAGAAAAACTGAAATCAAATATTCTAATAATTAACCATTAAGTATTCTAATGTACAATTAAAACAATCATACATTTTTTACGAATTCGTTCAATCTCGTTCCTTGCATCAACTTTAAGAGCTCTGCAATCTTCCAAAAAGAACCAAGAGAGATCTTCACGATCAGATGCTGAAATTAAGCAAATCAAAGAAAATATTAAAACAGTTCAACACTATTTTTCAAATTAAACCTTATTTTTTTCCTTTAGAAAAAAAAAGAGCATACGGTCGCAGTCGAATTCTCGCATAAAATCATCCAAAACCGGACTAAAATCAGATCCGCTTAATTCCATCGTGCATTGATCCTTGACACTGCAAGCGAAATATTTTTTAAACAATTTTTTTTCTGTTTAATTTCTTAGCTAATACAATAAATACAATAAAATCGGTTCCTTAATAACCATATTTGTATATATAGGAAGACCTCAGCGAGTGAAAAAATAAAAACGCAATAGAATGAAGTTTTTGAGCAAATTTGTCAGTTTGCAAATATTCCCGTTATAGACAAATGATGATTTTAAAAAAATGCTAATATGGTTGTTAAAGGCCGACTATTCAATTACTGCGCAGTTAAAATCGATAAAATGATTAGATATGACAAATGCACTACTTCCTTTTATAGTTCAAGCCAAATTTTATTTTCATTTAGCATTATCCAATCTACTGTCATCGCAGAGATTGCACAAAGATGCATAGTATGCTTGCATTCCAACAGGCATTTTAACTTGAAAAAACCTGCCATAACGAAATAACTTCAGACTATAGTGAAAATAAGATAATTCCTACCCTTTTGTAGAAGGTCGGTAATTCTAGAAAGACGACGAATACGCTGGATGTTATGGATACTTCTGAATTTTGATTGAAGAAAATTAGATCAGTGAGAAAATTAACGAAAGCAAATAAAACAATGGATTTCGTATTACGAATAATAACGGTCATCGAGAAAACACACGTAAAAATTGAATTTTATTTCTGGACATGAAAATGCAAAGAATCATCGATGTTATAATACAAAACAATTAAGAAAATGTCTAAATGTTTAAAAGTTCTTCAATTAATTTTTTTTATCGAATGTTAAATAGCAGAAAATTCGAACGTTTTTAAAGGAAATATGAAAGGAATTTTAATATTTTCTTTACAAATGACGCTCGAAATGATAATTTCCAACTCTAAAAAATTAAAAAAAAATCGTTCTAAGCAACACATCATATAAATAATTAGATCGAGAAACAGTACACGTGCAAATAAGATAGTAATAAGCAGATGCTATCCATTTTTTTTAAAACCGTATTTCTTCCTCTCGTAGAAAAGATCTGTTTTGGCACTTCCTAAGTTGACGATTTTTGGACAGCCATCTCGATCCTTTTCCATAATCGTACATTCTTTGCAGTAATAAGCATCACTGACTCCCGAGCCTCCACAAATGACACAGCGTCCCTAAGAATACGTATCCGATTAAATCGCTCAAAGCTAATCGCAAAAAACAACATTTCAAACTCACAAAACTCCAAAAATTTCAAAGAACGGTAGTAAAAACATGAAAACTACTAATTCTCAAATTGAATATTGATTGAAAGGGCTATATTACTAATATAATTGAAAAATTACTAATTATTAAAGCAATAAAATTATATTGAATCTATTTTTTTCAGAAAGAACTTCAAAATAAGGTTTAAAAATTAGCCATGCTAGGAAACTTATACCGAAACAAATTCTACTGCGAATAGAGCTGAATGAATCTCCCCAACACAGATCCATAAAAATTCAACGTTTACTCTAATAAGTGACTGACAATTAATTGCATTTTTGAACTTCAGGAAAAATTACGAAACATTGAAGTACTAAACATAACTATTTCAAATATTTATTTGCTCTTACCTGATATGATCCATAATTGCATTCATCGCAAATCCTCACTAACGTACATGGCCGAACATATGAATCACATATAACACAGCGGCCATCACCTGTAACGAAATGAAATGAATTTTTGAAATGTACACGCTGCTAACAAGTGATCCGAACCAAAACTAAAGTGTCTGAATAATTATCTTGTCCATCATCGATTAATGTTTGAATAAATAGAAAATTGATTAATGTTTACGCAACTATTGGACATACTATGTCGACCAAAATCAAAATATTATCAGGCTTGTCAAGTCATTCAGTGCCCCATAAATAACAACATGAATTCCTGTTAGAAAAACCTCTTTATATCACATGATAATACAGCGAGTATCCTTACAAAAAAACTATGATATCAGCCATCGAAGTCATTTATTTCAAGTACTTGCTTTTAAAGTTAAGCCTTAGCTAGCCAATGGCGACCGCTGCCAATTGAGCTTATTCGAAGTTTTGAAAACACTATAATGTCAAGCTTGACATTCCCAAGAAATATCTAAGAAAACAAATGCAAAACGAAGAAAAATACATTTTTCGCAAAGTCGACCGATAGCAACACCTGGCTGCTTGCGACAAAAAATCAGATCTGGATGATGCTTTGCCATGCTTGTTATCTTCGCAAAAAATCTCTATCTGAAATATTTTAAAAAATCACAAAAAACGCAACTGGACAGCAACATTTGGAGAATCCCCACAGTTCTGTAAACAAAGTTTGAACTTTGAAAATGTTCCGAAATACGAAAACCTGATAGGGTCTAGTAGTAATGCAAATGTGATTCCCGTTGCATGCAACAGATGAATTAGCCGTTTGTGATTACGGCTGAGATGAGGACTAAGAGGAGCAGTTCGGAAAGTTCTGAACGTCAGATGCGTTATGAATTCATAACGATTTGTTTAAATGAATGAAATTTTTAGGATAAGTGACAGGTAACTAAAACTGAGCAAGGGTCACCCGTGTGGCAAGCCGGTAGAAATGGTTATCAGTATTGCTATCATCGCCAAAGATGTTAGTTTTGTTTGTACAAAGTCCTTGTTTGTATTCCCTTCTTCTCCCTTTTCTCCTTACTGGTAAAGCTCTCGCGATATGGATGGTCTTTAGTGTTGATAAATGAGTAATAAACAATTCAGAGATATTATACAATGTGCAATGAATAATTAAGAAAAAAAAGTGGTTTAAATTACCACAGGTAACATTTTTTAGCTCAGCGGTGTAGATTCTTAATTAAAGTAAATTTAAAACATAGATGAACAGCAGGGACATTAAGGAAACAAGATCCATCCAGTCATCCACAACAATTTTGGAAGTGAAATTTTCTCTCTTCTTCCCGTTTCTTCACTTCATCACCTGTATGAATTTTTGATGTTGATAAGTTACTGAGTAATGGTATTAAAATTATCTTCATTGAGGTAGAGCTCACCCTTATATCTTAATGTGAACGAGAAAGAATCATCGAGAGAATTCGATATACAAATGTTCATTTATTGTTCGTTGGATATTGTTGATGAAAAAGTATTCGGTGCAAATAAGACCCTGGAACTGTATTTGGGACCACTCATATCAGATCAGAATTTCAAGGTTTATTTTCAAATTTAAAGAAGAGAAGTGCAGGTTAGTGATTCAGATGCTGCGTTGGTTAAATTGCGTCATTGATTAAGTACATCAAAAATGGTAATACATTATTAATGCACTGATTCTCTAACTCTCACCAGAATTTAGTGATAACGCTAATATTCAGCAGAAGTTCCTGCAACTGTAGTGATAATCGGAGTTGTAATTAAGATTCGGTCATGCTTCTAGTCTTATTTTTTATTTAAATCTATATATTTCTTTTTAGTCATTTGGTTATGTAACAAGCACTAATGTGAAAATGATTATTGTGACAGAAATAGGCGACACTTCACTGAAGGATCAAGATATTCGTTCCGTAAGTTATTTAGTTAAATTTTGTTAAAAGTGATCAAAATAAATGGCTAGCGAAATTTTAAATCTCATTTCCAAAAGTTGCATAGGAAGGGTTCTTCCTTCAGATTGATATGCTAATGCCTGCGGTCCGGATCAAAGTTCTAATCTTCCTAAAGTGAGACCTAACACTTTTAACTACATCATTATTTATGAAACAGCAATTGAAATCTTTGATTGCAGTCACAATTGTCAGTAAAAGTTATCAATATTCTCATCTGTAATTATACCTTCAGATGTTCAAAAGGCTGCATACTGCTTATTGCAACTCACTCTCAAATCCATTTTATGTCCCAGGACAACTTATCAAATCAAAGTAAGCTTTGATTATTAAATCGGAGAGTATTTTTTATTAAATTTTATGGAAAATGAAATTTTCATATGCATATTATAGATTCTGTTTTAAAGATGTTTTTTTTCAGGGTGTTAGACGAAACAGCAAAAGAAATATTCGCAACGTGATGGAATTTGTTTACTTAAGTTGACTTTGTCGTAATGTATTACTACGTGATATGTATAATTTCTGATCATGGTGACGTTTGTAATTTTTTTAAGTTATTTATCCATTCGAAATGATGAAGTGTTAATCTGATAAATTTTCAAAATACTAATCTTTTGTGAAAGCTAGTTTAGTTTATATTGATAATTTGCAATTACCTACTTTTTCCATAATTCTTATTAGTAATGCTGCACACCAAATTTCATATTTTGATAGATTACGGCATGTTTTTTTCTATTACTCCCCATAGCTGCAGGTAATATATTTGGTTGTGAACTTAGCACTAAAAGTGGAACAACTAAGGAGCGTATTTTTATAATAGTTGTTGTTGAGAAACTTTAACATTTTCCTTTACAGCTTAGCTTTCGTCGAGTACTCCCTTTTAATGTTCCTCCACTTGTATGGAGTTGTTTCTACTGTTCACTGTTGGATATTTTTTAGAATGGATGGTGATTCTGGTTTCAGTGGGATTGTCAAAATTTCCAACGTCAGCGATTTTATTGTCCCTGCACAGGTTTGCGTGATTTTTTCTTTTTTAATGTTTGTTTAGGTCTCAGAAGGTGGACTATTACTAAATGTTAAACTTTTAGATTAAAAAATTTCTAAAAAGTAGGATGTTATTTAGGCATGCATCTTACCACTTCAATCGAAGGAGTCCGATATGGAGGTTCAAATTCGAGATAGGAATCGGTCCAAAAAAAATGATAACAGTGCAGTAAAGAAAGTATCGATTACATTAAATGATTGTCTGTCATGCAGTGGTTGTATTACAAGTGCAGAAACAATACTTATTAAGGTTACTGGTACCTTGAAATCTTGTTTGTTTGTACTGATTGCGCCTTTTCCTTTTTCTTACATCATTTTCCATATTTCATTGCAAATTTACATGATGTAATTTTGCACAGCTTGCGATTTTTTGCGATTTTTTTTTTGCACAGCTTGCGATTTTTTGCGATTTTTTTTTTGCACAGCTTGCAGTTTGTTAAGGCAAAATGTAATAGATGTCAGTGAGGGTTTTCTTTTTGATGACGTAAAATAGAGTATTACTAAGCATTAGAAGCGAAGTGCGAAGCAAATAAGGAAATTTTTTTTGTTTCTGTTTGTGTTAGCGTAAATAGTTTGCTCTTATGCATCGAATTCTACGCACTGTTTAATGAACTTTTGTTATTTTGTTATTCAGGAACAATCGAAACCGAAATTTTTGGAGGGTTTGGCAAGTGCGCAATTGAGCGTAGTGACCGTTTCACCGCAATCAATAGCATCCATTGCCTATAAACGTGGTTGCCAGCAGTCAGAAGCAGCGAGACTCATTGCCGGAATTTTCAAGAATATGGGAATAACATATGTCGTTGATTCGAGCTTTGGAAGGCTACTAACTTTATCGCTCTCTTATGATGAATTTAAGGAAGCGCAGCTACAGCGACCAGTTTTTACAGGTGTTTGTCCAGGTTTCGGTAAGTTATATGATCTTTAACGCTATCAGTTAATATTGCAAAATAATTTTATTTTATTCTACTATTTTATTCACTGCGACAGGAAATGATTTAAAAGTCGATTTTAAGAATTTGATGTTACTTTTCTTTTTCTTTATTGTCAAACGCAACGTTCTATGTTCTGTATTTTTGTGACATAATTGTTAACCATTGATTTTCAGTGTGCTATGCTGAGAAAACTCATGGAGCATTACTTATCCCTCATATTAGTCGCGTGCGATCACCACAAGCCATGATGGGTGCACTTGTGAAGGACTATCTAGCAAGGTATGTTTTTGGGAGCCTTCCTCGACATCTTCAGTTTTTTTTCTCTATTTTACACCACTATCATGCAATATTTGGAAGAAAGTTACGCACTTGAATTGTGGGAGCTTGCAGTGAAGTTGGGCATGTATTAAGCGCGGGTTAACAAAATAAATATTTCTCAAACTGTTTTTATCCCGTTTCCTAATTAAAGGTTAGTGTTAATTTCGGACCATTTTTAATCTCATCTGGATTAAGTTGCTGGCTTTAATGGTTGTTGAATTTTTGTTTCTCGTAAGTTTATTTTTCAGGAAGTTTGACATGAGACCGGAAAAAATATTTCATGCCTCTATCATGCCATGTTTCGACAAGAAACTTGAAGCTGCGCGCTCGGTTCCGGGGGATCACCCCGACTGCCGTGAAGTTGACTGCGTTTTAAGTACAGGTTAAATAAGTTTTCAATTATCTCTATTCCATTTTCAAGTTTTATTCTCGGTCTTTGCTTTCCCATGGACTCTATGTACCATTAATTTCCTAAACTAATATTTCAGGGGAAGTAGAGGAAATTTTGGATGAATATAGCCCAATAGAGAGTCCTTCAGCTTCTGGAAAAATGGATTGGTTAAATGCACTGGAGAATGGTATGATAATTAATTCGGAGGGAGGCTCTTCAGGTGGTTACGCTGAATACATTGTGAAAAGATTTGTTGCAGAATCAAGAAGACCGTTGGAATTGAAGAGAACTATAAAGTAAGCCGAAAATTTCGTTATAATTTTTTCCAGTCTTTATTTTCTTAAATCATACTGGTCTGATTCTTTTTAATTGCTTAAAGGGCAACATTTTTCAGGTGCATGAAGTAGGAAAATTTAAGATAAGTGCATTTTAGTGGACAAAGACTAAGGATTAACGATAAATCATCTTTTACAGGGACAAAAATTGGGAAATTATTGAAGCAATAGATGATGGAACGAAGATGCTAGCCGTGGCAAAATGTTATGGATTTCGTAACATCCAGAATTATGTGCAAAAATTGAAACGCTCCAAATGTAATTATGATTACATTGAAATCATGGCTTGTCCATCGGGATGTATTAATGGTGGCGGACAAATCCGTGGTGCCTCGATTGAAGAAAGGAAACAGATCTTAGATGCAATCGAATTACCGTGCTCAGATAATAATTCAGAAATGAAAGAGGAGCTAGAACGTGTAAAAGAAGAGTGGTCAATGCTAAATCCAGACTGGATGGATTTACTCTATACGAAGTACTATGCAGTGAAGAAAAGTATTGCTGACAGAATAAGTACGAGTTGGTAAATTATCTGGAAATCAGCCTGTGGGGAAGCGAGCTCTGCATCAGATTATCAGATGATAAGGAGTATATGAATGAATCACTGAAGAACCTGAGTGGGTGAATTGAATATGCATCTGTGATGTAACATTAAATGTGAACTTTCCTTAAGTCATAGTTGCACATTTCATAATTAAGTACATTACCCAACAAAATTTTGTGAAGAAGTTTCGCTCAGAATTATAATGGAGAAGGCAACAATATTATGAATCTAATCTACCAGCAAATCAGTCGTTGCGACATAATATCAGAAAATCTTACTTTGCCAGGATTTATTCTTAATAAAATGTGAATTGATTTAGTCCACCGTCAATTCGATATTTTGAAACCATTGGTAATCAATGAAGTTTCACCACTGATAATCAATAAAGTGAAAAAGTACGATTTAACAATAAACCAGTGCAAAAGGAAAAACAGCAATCTGCAACATACACAAGTAAAAAAAGGATAACAACAATCTACAAAGAGTAAATCATAAATTTATCGGTTTGAATACGTTGAAGCCAGATAATGCCGTTGTGACTGCAAAACCCGGAATCTGACTATGCCAATGCACCTGAAATCAGAATTTCAACTGTAATGAAGCAGTGAAGGTATCGTGGGAAATCGAAGGTATCGGGATTTCTAGTTCAATTTTTCAGAAACATTCTAGTATTTTCAAATCATTGTTATACCAAATATGGCTGTAGATTACTCTCTTTTGCTTTTTTCTAAATTTGCTATGCGACATCGAAATACACCTTCCTAAGGACTAGGATGTTTGAAATTCTCAGAAATATCCATATTTAAATTTAAAGCGTCACCTCTTTCACTTCCTTTTGTCCCATATGAACAAACAACAACTGTGCTGGTACTTCAGCAATATTTTCGTTCGAATCGGCTTCGAGGGCTAAATCCCAAATAGTTACTTGATTATCTTCCCCGGATGCTATCATTGTTGTCGTCTCATGAGGAGACCATTCTACGGAAGTAATGGGTGCTTTGTGCTGTTTGAACCGAGCAACAGGTTCCTTGTACTGAAACAGAGTGATAGCGCGGATGACAATAATTTGGAAATTATAATGTCACATGCAGAAGAACATTTGTTTATCAGCATGCCTGCTAAGAAATATTTGCATAAATCTACACTGAACTTAATGGAATCAACAGGGTCACGAAACCAATATAAATCCCTTCTTCAGATGTATGGTGTACATAATTCCTCATAAACATGACTTTCCCGATTTCTTTAAACAACAATCTTCTTGATCCCTGTGGACTAGCATACCCTATAGGGTGTCACAAGGTCGATTTCCGGTTTCTACTAGTGAGTCTTTCTGCTTGCGACAAGTCATGTATAATATAACTGAGCCTTATATGGGACGAAAATATCTGTTGCAGAACGATTCTTCGTGTAAGCATATTAGTAATGAAAAATTCATTTCGACCGACCTGCATAGTTTTAAGTGACCATACATTCAAAGTCATGTCGTCACCACCACTTACTATTAAAGGTTCAAATTGGTTCCATGATATGACGTTTGCATGTGACTCATGTGCATTTTTTATAGTGCAAACGCAAGCATCTGACGACGCAGACCTGGAAAATCGGCGATTTCAATTAACTTCGCTAGGAAATTCATTGTTTGTAATAAGTTCCAAAACAAACTGAAATATTTGTTTGAGATTTTCAGAAGCAGATATATTGAAATATCTCTTCCACTTAGCTAAAGCGGAATATTTCCGAAATATTACGAGACCTCGTATCCCACAGCTTGATGCTATGATCAGCCGAACATGATGCAAGCATAGCTTCTTCCGTTGGTGACCAACATAGATCCTCTACGGAATCTTCATGTTCGGCAAGCGGTTTCTGATCAATAACCCATCGACCACCTTCAGCCATCGTCCACAAATGTATTTTACGTCTGATGTCACCAGATGCAAGCCTTCCTGGAAATCCAATGATTGAAGAATAAATTATATCGACAAATAAAAATAAATGACAATTTTATTAATAGTATGCTACTTCTTACTCCCCATGAATTATGTAAAATGTACTGCTGATGCAAAGCAATGAAAAACAGTAAAGCAAAAAACCACATCTGCCTAATAGGAATTCACCAAACCTTTTTTCTTTAGTTTTGTAGAACTAGATTTTACTTTTTGAAAAAGAATAAGACCGTTTAGCTACTAAGTGGATGATTCCTTCATATGAAGAAAAAAAAGTAAAAATAATACGAATTTAAATAATGGAAAAGAAAACATGAACACAAAAATACAAACCCATTTTAAGCGGCGACCATGACAAAGCATATCCTTCCGCTTGATGACCAATGAATGAAAAGAAAGGTCGTTCTTTCGGGCGTTTTACAACGCGGTCGCGTCCTTCCGCATTGGATATTTCTTCTACCGCTTGAGTGAGATTCCATAATGTTACTTTTCCTTGACTACTGAATGCAGCACACACTTTGCTTTGGCCAAGAGTAGTTACCTGAGATATTCCACAGGTACAAAATTTGCATTTACGTTAGAATGAAATCTTTAAATTATTTCTTAAAGTCTAGAGATTTATCTTAAATGCATCCTCAGTTCAGAAATAATTCTTCAAAGATCGGAGTCAACCCTACCTTCACACGATTGACAACGCCAATATGCGGGAGAGCTGCAGCTTGAAGATTTGGTTCTTTGTTTCGAGGACTTTCTCCATGATCTTCTTCGCTATCAGATGCCTCATCATCTGAACCAAAACATGGATATTATTTTAATTATTAAATTATTGACCTATTCAGATCATGACTAGAGTGTTTAAACATTTAGTTGAACCCATATTATATTATACTGTTTCTTAACTGAAAAGTGTTTGGAAACATTTGGCAGAGAAAATATGACAGTATTTCAGTCAACCTGCATTTAACCACATTGCACGAAATAAAATCAAACCCTCGATTGGGTTCAGATTTGATAGCTTCATCACAATTAATTCATTGTTAGTTGCCTTCTCAGCTTGCGTTCCTCCAACCAAATAACAGCTCATCGGAAAATCAGTACGATTATCACCAAGATCATCAGCAATTATGTCGAAACTGAGGCAAGGCCACCCTAAAAATGCAGCTATACATATATAAACATTGAAGACGCCTGCAAAATATTGCCAACTTTCTGTTGTTGTTTTTTTAAAGATGAACTGATGTCTAACTTTTAACTCCACTCAGTGGTTTCGAATTCCTAATAGTAGCCATTCAAATCTTTTGGATCGATCAAACCAGTAATATCAAATGGAACGAGTCAGAAAGTGCAATTAAGAAATATTACTTGTCTCAAAACTGTGATATAAGCGATATGCTTCAGGATCAAAATCCCAATCTTCATCCTCGCGTAATGGTCGACTTATGCCAGGTATGTAGACCTTAATTTTTTATTGCTTTAAGATAAATAAATCAATAAGAGCAAACATAAAATCTCAACATTATTCATTCATCCGTAAGACAGAAATAATTTTTTCAACAAATACCTCGAGGAAAATAAACTACTATTTTTCATCAAATAATGTAATTTTTATAGGATGTCGCAAAACTTCTATTTGTTAATTTGAATCTCAATTTTGGAATTAAATTACCTTTTTCTTGGTATTTTTTAATTTTTTCCTTTCTTCCTCATCATCCATCATTTCCGTTTCATTATACCGTTCTGTTGAATCTTCTCCCATCCTGCAAACTTTATAGGGAAGGAAAAGATTACTCTTCAAGTTTGCGCCTTCGTAGTTCTGAGTACCAAACATTAATAAACTTTCTATTCAAATCACTAAACAAGCAGAGGCTGTGGAACTTCATGAACTAATAACAAACAAACTACTACTACAGAAATCAAGTCAAAATACCACGACCTTAAGAACTGCTTACTCATTCCCAATACACCGCGACAGATTTGTGTCATTTCGTTGCGTTACAATGAAAACATCCATCCTACGGATATTTCCTTATATTACGTAAAACTTTTGAAGAGCATTTGATTTGCATTAAATTATAAGATACTGTTAGCCTTAATGTTATTAGCTTACTATGCCTTCTCCTAATTCTCGAGAAAGGAAGAAATATTTTGGGATATACTTTCTTTGCCAATACAATAAAGTATTTAGTAATGCTCTCTTTGCATATTATTTTTAAATTTATTCAAAATTTCATACGGAATATTTGAAACAAAAGAAATATTTAGGTCTATAAAGGAAGAAAAATACCGAAAAAGTCCTCAATTTGAAGATATTATAGAAATGTTCAAATGATTGCTATCTGAAGTGGACTTTCATATTTTGTTAAAGTCAAACTAATTGATCCCATTTATTAACATAGATTATTGATCTTCGTAGATATTATAATAAGAGTGAGGAAAAATGCTACCCGATATTGCATACTGCATGCATGGTATATGCAGTTATGGCAAGAATTTTCTCCGACAAAATTCAACTGGAACATTACATTACAATTTTCAGGTACATTCATTTATCTGAAATCTCTTTTAAGAGCCTCTCTCCCTCTTTCTTTCAGGAAGCATGATTTTGTAGCATTTATCACACAATTATGTTATAAATGGGGCAGTGAGGTGTACTTTCCAATTGGCTAATTCTTGTATCATCAGAATACTAGCAAATGAATTCAGATTGCTTTTTTGCGTCTTGTTTGAAATTTCAGGTTTCAGAAAGGAAACGATTTCAACACAAATATTGTTTGCTAAAAGAAGAAGTGCTTTGAATTGTAACATCATTCTCGAAAACGAATTCACTCATTTATTTCTTCTCTTTCATAGAAGAGTTACCTTTCCTCTCAAAGATATCATAGTTTACGTCAGTCATCAAGAAGTCTCTCTATTTTCGAAAAACAGAAGAATATTAACAAGTACAATTTTATTTAAGGTTTATAGATTCTGAAAATACAGATCTTAATAATAAAATATCTGACTGATAAGATCGACAACGAGAACGAAGAATTGA